GTGCCAAGATGTCTGACTTATTAAATTGGAACTTTAAGGATCGTTTTGCCTTGGACTCTGATTTAATTGTGCATGATACTTGGCACGCTGACAGTAACCCTGAGATACTGCAACCGTCATAAGTACATGCCAGTTGCCAAGCATCTGAATTTTGATCACGTGACGGGGGAGGAGGGGAATGCTGCCAGGGTTGGAAGTGTGAAAAACAACCATAAGTCCCTTTTGTTCAATGCCATTGTAGCTTCGAACGGTCACTAAGCAAATGATTGTAAGTCGAGAACTAACCATAATTGTTCTCACTTTCAGAAATTTATCCTTAGTTCTAGGCTGGCTCCCTGTTTCATGAGCTTAAAAACCTTCCTCTTGGAAGCAGCCGTCTAAGCACCGTTATCGCTGCCAACCAACCCTGCTCGGGGTGCAAAAGAGCCTTCCCTCTCTGTCCCACTTTACCTGATAGTTCGACTCCGTTCCTTTTGGATTTACGGGACTTTTGGCTGTTTCCGGTCCAAAATCGCTCCAGTAGGTGGTATCCGGGCTGTGGTTGGCACTTTTGGGTCTGTTTTCAGATGCTTGGTAAGACGGGATCACCCGGGATCTGTATGCCCCCGGAACACGGAACGGCGGTGGCACGTAGGCCTCCGTCGGAGGACCCACCGTCTTCCACTGCAGGGCGCGGTCGCCGTTGGAGGGAGGTTGAATATTTCTCAAGATGCTCTCCAGCTTCTCCTGGCAACCGGGGACAGGAATCCCAACGGGGAGTTGTTCCTTCGCCTGGGTGCCCCAAAACAACTCCTGAGGTTTGTCGAAACGCTGCAGCGGGCCCAGTTTGGTTTCGGTGCGGGAGAGGGAATCTGTAGCTTGCTGGAGCAAAGTTTGGCAGATCTTGAGATCGAGAACGCACTTGCCGAATTTGTGCTCGAACTGGGACTGGACGTTCTCATGCTTGCCGTGGGCGCTCTTGAGCACCTCGTTCATCACCGAGAAGCCGCTCAGGTCCTCGTGACTGTATTCCGTTTCGTTGTCCGAGGACAGACTCGCCTCGCGGTCTCGGATCTTGATGAGTCGAGGGGGAGAGAAATCGGCCGTATCGCCGGGAGAGCCTGGTGATCTTCCGCGGGAATCGGGGTCCTGCTCGGTTCTCGACGTCTCTTCGTCCCCCTCCGTCTCTTCGCCCAGCTCTGGATAGCAAGTGTATATCTCGTTAATTTGCACGCTGGACAAGCTCAGGTTGGCGTTGCTGTCCTGTTCCGCGTCTTGCAAGCATCTGTTGAAGAAAGGTCTGGAATGCGTTGTGCGGAGAACCGGCTCGGAGACCTGGACGACGTCGCTCAAACATTCCTCTAACATGGGGCTCGACTGTGCCGTGCGGAGAACCGGCTCGGAGACCTGGACGATGACGGGTTTGTTCTCCGGCGAGGAAAGGGCGCATCTGGTGGTGGTGAAACTCCGGACTGAGGAACGAAGCGAGAATGGCGAGGGAAGTGTGTTGAGGGAGAAACAATCGAATTTCTCGCCTGCTAATCATTTGCTTTTTAATTGTATTTATTTGTAATCTGCCTTTATTTTTTCGATAAATAGCTCAAGGCTCTCAAGTGAACATATCCGACATGAGTTTCCTCCTCCTATTTTCCTCACCACAACAACCCTGTGAGGTGGGGAGGGCTGAGAGAGAGGGTCTGGCTCCAAGTCACCCAACTGGTTTTTGTAGCTGTGGTGGAACTCGAACTCACCGTCTNAGCCTCCAGGGATGAAGCTCCCACAGCTTCTGTTCCATGGGTTGATGGTTCTCACAGTCAGGAAATTCCTCCTTATTTCCAGGTTGAATATCTCCTGGTTCAGTTGCCATCCATTATTCCTTGTCTGGCCTTCAGGTGCTTTGGAAAATAGGTTTTCCCCTTCCTCTCTCCCCTTCCTCTCAATTATTGGAAGACTGCTAACATGTCTCCCTTGGTCCTTCTCTTCACTAGACCAGCCATGCCCAGTTCCTGCAACCGTTCATCGTAGGTTTGAGTCTCCAGGCCTTTGATCATCTTGGATAGATTCAGATTAAGAGAGTTGAAAGGGACCTTGGAGGTCATCTAGTCCAACCCCTCACCCAAGCAGGAGACCCTACACCATTTCTGACAGATGACAGTCCAGTCTCTTCTTGAGAGCCTCCAGGGATGAAGCTCCCACAGCTTCTGCTCCATGGGTTGATGGTTCTCACTGTCAGGAAATTCCTCCTTATTTCCAGGTTGAATCTCTCCTTGATCAGTTTCCATCCATTGTTCCTTGTCTCACCTTCAGGTGCCTTGGAGAATAGCATGACTCCCTCTTCTTTATCTACCTCCCTCTCCAGTTGCAGGAACTGGGCATGGCTAGTCTGGTGAAGAGAAGGACCAAGGGAGACATGTTAGCAGTCTTCCAATAATTGAGAGGAAGGGGAGAGAGGAAGGGGAAAACCTATTTTCCAAAGCACCTGAAGGCCAGACAAGGAATAATGGATGGAAATTGAACAAGGAGAGATTCAACCTGGAAATAAGGAGAAATTTCCTGAGAGTGAGAACAATCAAGCCATGGAAGAGAAGTTGCCTCCAGAAATTGTGGGAGCTTCATCACTGGAGGCTTTCAAGAAGAGACTGGACTGCCATCTGTCAGAAATGGTGTAGGGTCTCCTGCTTGGGTGAGGGGTTGGACTAGATGACCTACAAGGTCCTTTCCAACATTATTATTCTATATTCCATGGAACAGAAGTTGCCTCCAGAAGTTGTGGGAGCTTCATCCCTGGAGGCTTTCAAGAAGAGACTGGATTGCCATCTGTCAGAAATGGTGTAGGGTCTCACATTAGTTGAAGTCTTTTCAATGTTGCCCCCACTGCCTAGTTATTCAGCCAACATGAAACAAGTCCAGTCAGGTGAAAAACCCTCAAGGTGAACACAATTCAAATGAAAAAGTAATTTTGGAAGCTTAATTTGTCAGAGTACAACGGCACAACAATTTCGCTTCTCTTTTCATTGTTTGTTTATTTATTGGTTGCACTGCAGACAATAATTTTGGATCTTCCCATGTGGTCTTAAAGAACAAAATAAACTCTGCATTCTAGAAAGCTTGCCCAAAAATGTATTCTTTCATTATAAAAAACTGATTATCGCACCAGATTGACTCAAAAACTCCTCTGTTTCTCTCTCCCCACCCCCCAAAGCTAAAGCTGCATCCCAAGTTGCATCAGATTGGATCCAATTTACAACTGTGGATAAAACCTGTCACTTGAACATAACATTTTCGGCTGAAAACCCTCAGCTGAATATTTACATTTCTATTTGCCACTGTGGAGCTCTTGAGGAATCTGTAAACAGTATTAAGTTTCTTCTTAATGTAGTTATATGGTCTCGTGTCATTTCCTTTTGAGGCTGTACATCAAATTTGGTTTATACTATTTAGGTCAGTAAGGGAGGCGGTGACTCAGCGGCTAAGACGCTGAGCTTCTCAATCAGAAAGGTCGGCAGTTCGGCGGTTCGAATCCCTAGTGACGCGTAACGGAGGGAGCTCCCGTTCCTTGTCCCAGCTTCTGTCAACCTAGCAGTTCGAAAGCACGTAAAAAATGCAAAAAGTAGAAAAATAGGAACCACCTTTGGTGGGAAGGGAACAGCACTCCGTGCGGCTTCGGGAATTGAGTCATGCCGGCCACATGACCACGGAGACGTCTTCGAACAGCGCTGGCTCTTCGGCTTTGAAATGGAGATGAGCACCGCCCCCTAGAGTTGGGAACGACTAGTACATAGGTGCGAGGAGAACCTTTACCTTTATTTATGTCAGGGGATGCCATTGTGCAGAGGTAGCAATAGCAATAGCAGTAGCAGTTAGACTTATATACTGCTTCACAGTGCTTTTACAGCCCTCTCTAAGCGGTTTACAGAGTCAGCCTCTTGCCCCCAACAATCTGGGTCCTCATTTTACCCACCTCGGAAGGATGGAAGGCTGAGTCAACTGGAAGGAAGGAGGGAGGGAGGGAGGGAGGGAAGGAAGGAAGGAAGGAAGGAAGGAAGGAAGGAAGGAAGGAAGGAAGGAAGGAAGGAAG